AGGGCACGCGAGGTGTTGCCCTGTCAGCTTCAGCGTGCATGCGCATGCTGGCCAGATGGCTTTGGCCTTCTTTTAAGGCTGTTTTTCGCACTCCGAAGGCTTCCTGAAGGCTCCAGAGGGTGAAAAATGGCCCTATGGACAAACTGGAAGTCACTTCCAGGTTGCTCATAGGGCTAGTTTTAGCCCTCCAGAGTCTTCAGGGGCCTTATGGAGGCTTCCCTGAACGCTCTGGAGGGCTAAAACTAGCCCTATGAGCAACCTGGAAGTGACTTCCAGTTTGTCCATAGGGCCATTTTTCACCCTCTGGAGCCTTCAGGAAGCCTTCGGAGTGCAAAAAACAGCCTTAAAAGAAGGCCAAAGCCATCTGGCCAGCATGCGCATGCACGCTGAAGCTGACAGGGCAACACCTCGCGTGCCCTAACAAATGGCTCCGAGTGCCACAGGTTCACCATCACGGGTATATACAGTCTTCTCTAGCCTTTGCATCTTTCTGATATGTGAACTTCCCAGAATTTTCAGCCAGCATAGCCACTGCTGAATGTTTGGAAAGCTAAGATATTCACATCTGGGAGGTGTTCAACAAATGAGTCACAACTATAGAATATCAAATACACAACACCAATATAGCTATTAAAAAAAGTGGGACTTAGAACACAATGCCACAGATACCATCTTGTTCATTTTGCTGTGGTTCACTATCTGATTTACTATCCTTAAGGATTATTTTTAATGTAGTCAATATTTCTGAAGCTGAAATGTTTCTCTCTTGCTATATTGTTTCTTACAATATCGGCAAACTTACTGTTTTCACATCATTAGTACCAATGATGCCGCCAATCTCTCCCAGGTCCTTAAGCAATAAATTCAATATTTCAGTAGCTCTCTTTTTCTGATGATTACTAAGTTCTTGCAACTGTCCCAGCTCTCTTTGTGTACTTGACAGAGCAGACTGGAAAATAATAAGAACACAGCTTACATAGTGAATTATGATGAAAAGCAATTGCATGTCACACTTAAAAAAATTGTTTTTGTAGGTTACGCTATGGTTTCTACATTGGATGTACTTGGACAGACATTATTTCCTAAAATTTAAATGCAATGAGTCAAACACCCACAGTCTACTTTGTAAAGAAGCCTCAAACTGAGCATCACTTTTCACTTGGGATATAAACAATAGTCAAGCTTTCTACTGTTACACAAAAAACCATTCAATTTTTGGCACCTTCATTCATATTTGTTTTCATTAAATTAAGAATAACCCCAGAATTCTAGATCAGATAGGTGGTTTTATATTTAACATCAAATAGTGGCAGAGATGAAGTATCCAGAACTATGGCCTTACTCTATATCAGCGGTGGTATTCTGCCAGTTCAGACTGGTTCGCCCTAATCGGTAGCAGAAATGGCAAGGGGCAGTGCCCACCCACCCGGGCTCTATGGCATCCCATTTAGGCCCCTTTTTTAGCCAAAGTGCATGTGCGGAAGGCTGAGTGCATGCACAGACATAGCGCATGCGAAGCACGCACACATACACACACGCTCACATTTGTGAACTGGTAGGAAAGGCAAGTGAATACCACCCCTGCTCTATATGTTCCAGTTTAAGGTAGGCATTAAAGAGAATTAGGCATTAAATGAAAAATGTCCAAAACCTAGCTATTATATGGCAGAGAAATAATTCCCAGCAACACCTTCTGGAAACTCAAGGTAGAATCAGTGGAAGGTAGAAATCGCTTCCATTTTAAAACTTGCATAGAGATACACAAACAGAAATTCCTAGTCTGCTAGTAGCTAAAGCAGATCAAGCCACTGGAAGAAAACAGAATGCCATTTCTATGACCAAATTCTTTTGCTGTTAAACATCCAGCATGCAATGGGAAACAAGATAATAATAATCATCTTCTCATATATTTTCCAGGAGAAAATTATTATACCACATTATATATGTTTTAAACATGTTTTATACATGTTTTAAATCTTTCAGCATTTACCATTTTAGCATTCACTGCAACAACAAGATGGCAAATGACAACTAACAAGTTAACAATTTTCACAAAACTGGTTCTCTAGCAGTTTGCTAAAGAAAATTCTCTTTTTT